TGTGTGTGTGTGTGTGTGTGTGTGTGTGTGTGTGTGTGTGTGTGTGTGTGTGTGTGTGTGTGTGTGTGTGCGTGCGTGCGTGTGTGTGTGTTCGTGGGAAGGAGGGGCCGAGTAAGGACACAGACGAAACAGTTTCATTTGATATGTTGTGTTATGGTCGCTAAAAATTAGTGCCACATTTCCTTATACAGTTTTCATATCTGACCTACAGAAGACCAACAGACAAGAACACATTTTTAAAAAAGAAAAAGAACAAGAAATAGAAAGTTGGCACAAGTACAGTCGAACTTGCTTTAACGGCCATCCCAACCTGTCTAAAACAACCACCTGTTTAAACATTCACTTCCCACTTACCCTTTTTGTACACTATGACACTGTGAAAGACATCCACCTGTCTAAGACAACATCTTTTCTCCACATCAGTGGGTGGCTAACTTGGACACTTCCGACTGTATATCATGCCTGTCAGCATGGTTATGATTGGTTCATACAAATAGATTTTAGTAGTAAATGTTTTACGGCACTTGCAACACAATAAGGTCATAAGTGCCGAAGATTAGAGGTGTTACAAGAGAGTAACAAACACAAATAATATGAAGGAGGGGAGATAAAGACGATAGATGTTTGATAGGAAAGAAGAAGCAAACCACACCAGAGCACCCGCCAACCACCCACTAGATCTAAATAGATCCTATCTGTCCTGCCATACATTATTGTTGATGATATTAAATCTAAGGTTAGCTTGATCTCTTTTTACCGCAACTCTGACCTCAAATGATGGGGTCCAAGCAAGCAGCATAGATGTGTAAACAAAAAGATAAAAACGTTGACAGTCAGACCATACCCATTACGCCCTGTGGGATGCGCAAATTTGCTCTTCGAAGTAAAAATGGAAACTATCTTTAAGCAAACATTCTGGCCAATTATTGTTTTGGAAGAAAGGGAGAAAGTGTGTATGTGTGATGGTGGTTTGGAGGGGGGGGTATTTATCCCTTTTCCTCTTGAACAGATCAATATTTAATACGTTTAACCATCTGTAAAATGTCTGACAAATAAAATTGCGATCTATCTTCCTTTGTAAAGGTTTTCCCTCGACACTTTCTTACAATTATTATTATATAATAAAATGAGCCTTAAAGAAATATAAAAGTGCATCTTTGTCTGCATGTGTTGTGAGTCTATGGACAGCCTTTGGCAGGCAGGCTGTTGATTCAGTGAGGAGATATTATTGACTGTCGGTGTGATGCACGATCGCTGTATTGATTGGTGAGCACGCACACGGGAGAGGCGGGTCTAGGGAGGGGTGAGCGGGAAAGTTTGCGGTGAGCTCTGGTGTCGGGGTTATGTGAGAGTGCTCTCGGGGGAATGGGAAAGGTTTTAGTTTTCTTGTTTTTTCGTGTGGATGATGGTGGTGGTAAAGAGAGAGAGAGAGAGAGAGAGAGAGAGAGAGCGAAAGAGAGAGAGAGCGAAAGAGAGAGAGAGGGGGAGGGGTGTGGGGGTGGCCGTGGGGGTTACGGTATCTGGTCGTTCTTCACTTGGAGCGAATCAGGAAAACGAATCAGCGAGCAAGAAGTGTCATTTAGAAAGAAGGAAAAAAAAAACCCACGAAAACAAACAACCCAGGTCAATCTGTCTTTTCCTAGCCCTTTGTCGATAAGAACTGAAACTGAGTGGCCAAAAACGGGGTCCTTTTCACAACCCCGCTATGTGATATACAGCGTGTTACCACGTTACTCTTACCGTACGCATGGTGTGGTGCATGATGCTCAGCCCTAGCCAGAACTCTCCAGTTTTGTTGCCAAAACCACGCTCGTAGTCGACCCAGGGCAGGTAGAAGTCCTGAGAGCCATCAGTACGAAGCTGAAACCGAGGATTTGGAGTTTTAGTAAGAGTTTTATGGCACTTAATTGCAACACAAATAGGTCATATGAGTGTCGAAGAAAAGTGGTTATACTAAAAAGTGAGATTTAAAGACCGTGGGTGGTTGGCGGGTGCTCTGGTGTGGTTGGTTCCTTCTTTCCTATCAAGAAACTATCGTCCTTATATCTCCTCCTTTTTTGTGTTTGTTACTCTCTTGTAACAGCTCTAATCTTCTACACTTATATGACCATATATTGTGTTGCAAGTGCCGTAAAACACTTACTAAAACAAATACAAAGACCTGACGGAGGACAGAATACAAGGGGGATCAAAATATTTTAAAAAACAGGCTCCACTGGAACCAGATTACATCCCGATCATTTTGTATAATCATCGACCTTGGAATGTGGTTAGGTTCTCCCGCCCCCCTTACTCATGATCTTAAGGTAGATAAGACAAAGCACCTTGTCCTCTCGGATAAGGATGAAACATCTCAGATGTCTCGTATACACGTAGAGAACGTTAAAGATCCCTTGGTGGTTGAAAATCGTAAAAATGAAGGCCCTAAAAAAACAAGGTTTAAATATTCAAATTGTAGTCCTACCATATATACTTTGTGTTATTATATATCCCTATCGCGATTACAAAACAATAAGACAAACGTTTATGCCTTTCTTGATTTCAAACTTACTATCCATGTCTCTCTTTTGGAGCATACAAAAGAAGTCAAGATCTGAATGAAGGGGGCAATACTTAGGCTATCTACTTCCCTTATGTCTACCGTCCGTTCAAAGCTGTACCATGCAAACTGCTTCACAAAATCGATAAGAGTAGGCATCGGCCGCCACCCGAAAACAATTCAGTATTAATTTTAACCAAACTAATTATGTTTAATGTGTCTCGCACCCTCGTATGATGTTGTACAGTTGGGAACGCCTTAAAACACTAATTACAAAACCAACCAACCAAACAAACAAACAAACAAAACTTTTTCAAAATCATCTGAAAACAAGTAAAACACCAGAGTCTTTATAGTGGCGTGATTCGAAATTGCCAATTTGTACTGGTTAAATGCCTCAAAAACACTGTAAAATTGTTTAAAAGGCGGGACCTCCAAATTCAACGTCCTTCTCTGAGAGGACCCTCAAATCTGTGGAGAGGCTTAAAAACTCCATAAAACAACCAAGAGAACAGAACGTTTCGTTGAAGATTCGAACCAAGAACATTCGCTCTGTAGTTCAGCATGATACCAACTAGGCTAACAGCGCGAACTAGCCTAAGTGGTTCTTGACAAAAATTTGAAACGGAGTGCTTATTGGCCCACAGGGGCATATAAAATTTCCCCTAGAACATTTATTATTTGCCCACAAAATCACAAAATTGCAAGTTATCTCCCCTGAGTTTGCCGCCGCCCCCCCCCCCCCCCCCCCCAATCCACAAATGATAAAAATGAAAATACAACATCAAAATCCCAATCAAATATCAGAGAAGTTATTTTACATACACTTCTCTAAAGCTTTTACGTTAATATTATATTTTACACAAGTGACATGACATTTTAAGTTTTCAGTTAAAATGAAAGTTTAATAAGTCAATTTCTACTATAATATTAAGGAAGTATAGATCTCTATCTAGAATGACTCCCAAACCAACAAGATCCCAAAAGATAACAAAAACTCACTTGTGTTATTAAGGATACAGAATGCTAATAGTAATAGCCGTATTTATTATTTCTTAACAATCTTAATAATCAAAAACTATTAAAGCTAGAGAATGCCTCAGGAAAACATTAACAAGAAGGGATAAAGTGAGAACAAATTAAAAGAGAACAAGTTGGGACAACACCATGTATGAAATACATTGAAAAACAACGCATTAAATGGCCCATGTGGGCCAATAAGAGCAGCCAATTTGAAAACCCTCGTGGGAAAATTACTGATAATGTCACAGTTTCCGACCAGCTGGAAATTAAGATCTAGAGACTTCCTCTCTCTTTCATGAGTAGGATTTTCTCTCTTTTTCTCTTTTTTTCCTATGTTCTGCTGTTGAAAAAATAATACAGTGATTGTTTTACACAGGTTTCTTTAATATTATGACTGTGTTGCAAAATAATGGGGATTTGACGTTAAAAAAAACAACAACTTTACCTTTCAGGGGGCTTTTTCTGTTGTTGGATTTATTTATTTTTCAGACCATAATGTAGTCTTCATTTGTATAATTAAGGAAAGTTGGGAGTGAGTTAATACGACCGTCAGGGTCTGTGTGCTATCGTGACAATTAGTGTTGTTAATTCCTGACGAGATCATTACTCCAAAGGTGCTGTGGTGTTTATTTGAAAGAAATTACCAAAGCTTGACTTGCATGTGCGTGCGTGTGTGTGTGTGTGTGTGTGTGTGTGTGTGTGTGTGTGTGTGTGTGTGTGTGTGTGTGTGTGTGTGAGTGTGTGTGTGTGTGTGTGTGTGTGTGTGTGTGTGTGTGTGCCTGTGTGTGAACGAGTGAGTGTGTGAATGTGTTTTGTGAGTGTGTGTGTGTGTTTTATGAGTATGTATGTGTGTGTGTGTTTTCATGTGTATGTGTGTGTGCATGTGTGTGTGTGTGTGTTTGTGTTTTCATGTGTGTGTATGTGTCTGTCTGTCTGTGTGTGTCTGTCTGTGTGTGTATGCTTGAAAGCGTAAAAGAAACAAAGAAACACATTCAAAAGCAAGGACAACGAACATAATACCATACACCGTAAGACAAAGAACTTCGATTTTCCCCGACATGAGAAGGCAACTATGAAATGACATTTCAATGATAATTAAAGCCTTCTACGACCCTAACAACTAACGCGTATGTATTATCAATATCGTTTACCCCGATGTCACGTTGTTCACATCATAACAATCAGAGTGCTGATTATGTATATTATTCTAGCTTAACATTATTATGTATATTCAAGCTTATTATGTTTACTCCAACTTAACTTTATTATGGTGAACAATAATAATTCTTCATTTATATCATGTGTATATGCCTGCGGGTCTGTTTTTTATGCCTCCCTCGTGGTCTCATTAGCTGGTTAAATGAATAAAATTTAACTATCTACCTTTAAAGAGATTAAAGATAAATACATTTAGATATGCAGTAAGTGAAAAGATGATCAGATGCTTACACATTATTGCGAAGATTGTTTTTTTATCAACAAGTGCGTAAGATTACGTCGCAAAGTTTACTCAGTTGGAATTAAGTTTTGAGATTTGGCATAGTGTATGCAAATGGACAAAAACCCTTAAAATTAACGAAATTGTTCATTTTTAATGTTACATTATATGAAACAAAACGGGGGGTTGGTTAGGGTGTGGGGGAGATTTGGGTATGGGAGAGGGGAGAGTAGGGCATTGGCCAGGGTAGGGTAATGAGCAGGGCGTGAAGGGTTTTTTTGTTCGGGGTAAAGGGTATATCGTCACCACCACCACCCTCTTCCACAGACACGAAAGGACATCAAGACACATAGAACCTTGTGTTTTACGACTGGTTATAAAACATATGATGTCACAGAAACTCCCTTCTACTTTTAGTCCAACAGAGAGCCCAAGACAGTCTCGGGCCAGGTACATGCAATGAAAGAGTTTTAGAATATTTTCGTATGAGGAAGAGCATTTGGTCGGCCAGATGTTTAAATGCGCTAAGCCCAAAATTTTGAACAAAATAAGTCATTGCATTTCCTTAACCTGCGGAATCAGTTGCATGTGCTCAAGAAATTGTTTGTCGAAATTCAGAACGTAATTGTCGAAAAAAGACAACAAAAGATGCATAAAAGGTAGATACAATTACTGACAGAATGAAGCAATATTGCTTTTCACTCTTGAAAATGTTCGCTTTTTGGGTTGAGTACATTTAAAAAACTTGTCGAAGGTAGGCTATAGCAAACATGCAAAAAATGATTAACAGAAACAAACAAACAAACAAAACACATATTTACAAACAAGCAGACCTGGACAACGGTCCATTTCCCGCCGTCAGTGTATGTGTCACAGAGGAGTTCTCTCCCTTCCACGTCATGGATGTGGACATATTGTTCATTGGTGCTGGTTGGAACGTCGGCACATTTGGCCTGATTTGTGAATGAAAAAAAAGTGTGAAATGGTGTCAGTCTGGTGAACTGCTCTCTCTCTCTCTCTCTCTCTCTCTCTCTCTCTCTCTCTCTCTCTCTCTCTCTCTCTCTCTCTCTCTCTCTCTCTCTCTCAAGCCTGTTCTATCTAACAATGACTTAAGGGGGGGGGGGCTACACCTGAAGGCTATCTCGCTTATTACTGGACCGAATTTTACCAATTTTCACACATATAACAAGCATAGTAAGGAGTCTTTAAATCTCCAATCAAATTTGAGAAAAAGTTTCGTTTCCATGGATACGGCCGCCATATTGGGTTTTGTTGACATGTCTTACGTAATGAATAACGCACTTATTGCTCATGGAAATTAAATGGGGGTTTTTGCATGCGTGTTCACAAACATTACATCTAAAAATGTGTCTATTTTTTTTCCTAAACGAATTAGAAAATATTTTATGAATATTTTCCTGAGGTAGCTTTCAAGTTTTCAAAAAATCCGTAAAAATCCACACTCCAGACACCACCAACAAAAATCTATTCCATATATCAAAAATTCAACAGACAAATATTTTTGTATCACATCTTATTTTCATTCTGTGAAAATTTCATGAAGTTTGGATGAAAAATGGTGGAGTTATTCAAAAAAGTATAGAGAAAAGTCGCGTTTTGAGAAAACGGCCGATAAAGAAAAATAAAATATTGACTTTATGAGGAAATTACGGTGACATACAATCCCGGTATGGGGGAAAATACGGTTTTTGTAGGTTCTTATGTGATGAAATAGTTGTAGGAGAGGCTGAGAAAGCTAAAAATGCCTACAACTCAAATTCCATAATTTTGAGCCGAATTTTGACTTTTGGAGTGCAGCCCCCCCCCCCCCCCCCCCCTAAACCAACCAACCATCTATCTATCTATCTATCTATCTATCTATCTATCTATCTATCTATCTATCTATCTATCTATCTATCTATCTATCTATATATATATATATATATATATATATATATATATATATATATATATATATATATATATATATATATATATATTCAAGCAATATGTAGGCAAGAGGCCAAAGTGCAATCCTGTTCTCAACATTTTGTATTATGCACTCAAAGTTAGAAAATCATCCAAGATAAGATTTTTTTTTTTTTTAAATTAAAGAAAGTCCATGGGCTGGAAAAGTAGACCTCGTAACTACATTATCACAAAGGATTCAGATTTTTGCCCCTCTCAACATTTAGGCAATGTTTTATAGTTACAAGGCAAAAACGTCTATGAGTTGAGTTCTCTGAGATTAAGAGCGCAACGAAACACCGCTAAACTAAAATAATAGACAACCGCCAAACTAAGACTAAGAGAAAAGGTTGGCCAAACTTACCGCTTGTGAAGCTTTGGCTGTACTTGACGTAGCGTCGTTCTGGGCTGCTGGAGAAGCTTCTGTTGACGACAAAGAACTTTAGCAAGTTAGTTTATTTTTGTGAGTGTTTTACGGCCCTCGCAACTGCATAAGGTCATATTATGAGTGCGCGAGACACATAAAGAATTTTCAGTATGGTAAGAATTCATTTTGAATTTTGCCTGTACAGTTGCCAAGGCCTACTTTTATCGATTTTGGTCCACCCAGGGGTCTTTAATAAGCGTAACTTACACACGAGACCTCCTAGATTTCCCCCCTTATCAGAGATGGCTAGGTGTTATACCTTACCTACCCTAAGATCAGGGGTATGGCTGAAAGACAGTGCAGCAATAGGAAGGAGCCAAGGAGTAGGAGTAGGGAGGCTGCAGAATGAGTCAGGAGCCCAAAGTAGGGTTCTTTTTAATAGGTTTTTTTTTTTAGGGGGCGGAAAGTGGAGACGAAAGCAGACAATAGAACATGGTGAGAGAGCAGGAAAGGGAAAGGCGGTGAAAGGAGAACATGTTAAAGATCTATAACTGTCACTGGAAAAGTTAAACAGAAAGGCAGAAACAATAGAGGGAAAGTAAAGACGTAGGACCTACGAGTGACGCCCTCCAACCACCCGTTTATATTTGTTGGAAGCAATGATGCCACCCTTATACTTGTATAAAGCATAAAGAGTTAGTTTAAAGGGAAAGCGTTTTTTTTTTTAAATCAGAATTCTGTCATGTATATATGATATTGAAAAAATAACCTCGATGCTTCCAGAGTTCTAAAGGAAGTTCAAATTAACAAGAGAAAATTGTGGCTGTAAAAAGATAAATTGTTCAGAGTGAAGACTAGTTTCAGAATTTGACTCATTTCTGTTTTAAACTGTATGCTGTTGCTTTTGTTGATGTCATCGTCGATGTCGTTTTCATCTTTAGGTTGCGCTAATCCTTCACTGTTGACACATTTTTAGAATAAAAAAAAAAAATCAACCTACCCCATCTCTGTCGATTTCAATCTATGAATTTTTAAAAAGATGTGCTATACTACGTGTTGTTTGGCACATTTTGTGTCCACACTGTCTTGTACATCCCAGGGTCTACTGTGGCTACTCCCCCCCCCCCCTTCCGAAAAACAACTCCAAAACTCAAAAGATACCTCATAAAAATAATAAGACAACAAAAATAACTGCAAAAAGAGACACTAAAAAATAAAAAATAAAAAGAAACAAACCCCTATCTGCGCTCTCATGGGTCAGTCGAATAGATCTATGATTGACACTGACATAATTCAGATCTAAAAAGCTATTAGAATAAAGGTACTCACCACTGGCTATTGCCAATACCAGTAAAACGGCCAATTGAAGTAACATTTTAAAAACTCCCAAACGACTTCCACTGCAACCGGCCAGACACACACATACAAACACATCCACACTACTACACTACGTGCAAACACAGCACATGTCCCACAGACGCGCATTATCATATCCTAGATTTTGCACTCTAGCGTATTTTCCGGTTCGTTATGGAGGGCAGCATTTATTATGGATTCAAAGAAATGTTTGTTTGTTTGTTTGTTTGTTTGTTTGTTTGTTTGCTTGTTTGTTTGTTTGTTTGTTTGAGTAAAGAGGCATATCGATACAATAACGATCATTTAGATCGGGGGGGGGGGGGGGGGGGGGAGTAAGGCATACAGATTCAGCAGAAGGAAAGTAAAAAAGTAGGACCTACTAGTGGCGCCCTCTAACCACCCAATACCGCGTGAACTCATCTGTGGGTGTTGCATTGTGGTGATGTCAGACTCTCTTTACAATAATAACTTTGGAGGAACACGAAATGTTCTGCCCTCTAAGCATTTTTTTCACAAAAGTATTGTTTTCGTGTCAGGACCGTTTGTGTCCATTTAAATGCGTACATTCCTGCATGGACTTTGCTGAAAAATCACTACCTTAGAGTTACAAAGTTTTATCTGACATTTTTGGCTGTTTTGAGTTACTGTACATAAAAGACCATGAGATCAAAAACCAAATGTTCTGTCTGCTCTGTCAAAATCCTAAGATTATTCGGAGTCATTATCAAGATAATCAAAGAATTGCATTTAAAAAAGCTTGACATAATGCGAAGCTCATAATCTTTAACGTTAAATTTCTCGAAAACTAGGTACCGAGCAGATAGAACTTTGTAATTCTGAAGTAACGAAATGTTGATCAAAAGAATAAAAATTGTGATTCCCATGTCCTTCATTCGCAAATATTCCGACTTCTATTCAAGATAGATGGGTTTTGGTGTTCGTTTTGTTTTGTTTATTTGTTGTTGTTTTTTCATCGAGAGCAAGGCAAATGAACAGGCTTTAATATTATAAAAATAACTCCATATTCCCCAAAATTGACTAAAGCTTGATTCGAAAAAGGGAGGTTTGTGTTTTCTCCTTGATTTAAGCGTCATGGTGAGCCCATGGCATTCGTTCTTCAAAGCGAAGTTTTTAATAGAGAGCAAAAGTGGCTTCCATGACAGTAGGCGATCTAGGATTACAAGCCTATGACATTGAAGGACTTGGCGACCTCTCTGACTTATTGTTGACATAAGTATTTCAATTACGTAGATGCCTTATCTCAACGGATATTATCTGGCTATTCGTTTTGTGTTTTTTGTTTTGTTTTTTCAAGTGTAGTGTAAATAGATAAAAACTGGAATTTTTAAACCTTCAGATCCTTGATCGTGTCTTGGCTTCGAAGAAACCGGTTTTTGTTTGTTTCGTTTTGTTTTATTTTGTTTTGTTTTAAAGGCTCCAGTGATTAGAGGACGCCCCTGGAGAGTTCTAATTCTTTACCTTTTCGTCGCTGTTTCGGTCCCTGTATCTTACTTTTAATCTTCTCGAAACGCAAGACTTCTTTATTTTCCTTTGCTGTGCCATTCTGTGTATCTTACTTTTAACCAGCACGAAACACTTACTATTGTGTTGTTGACTGGACCTTCTGGGAGCAAAAAATGTAATATCCTTGGTCAACTTCCTGCCGCTGAATTCCACTCGTATGTCACAATTACAACCTTACCAAAGGTAAAAGTGACCGTTTTCCTTCTTTTTTTCTTCTTCAAATTCATAGTTTTGTATTGTAATACCCTAGACTTTGCACTCTGACGTAATTGCGGTTCTTTTTGGAGTGGGGGCGCCTTAAAGAAACACGTAAGAGCAGGAGGAGAGATAAGGACTATAAATGTGGGTTTTTAAAAAACTTTAAGTAAGTATTTTACGCCACTTGCAACACAATCAAGTCATAAAAGTGCCGAAGATTAGAAGTATTACAAGAGAGTAACACGCACAAAAAGAAGGAGGGGAGATAGAGACGATAGATTTCTTAATAAAAAAGAAGAAGCAAACCACACTTGAACACCCGCCAAACACCCACTGAGAGTGAGAGAATAGAGAGAGAGATATAAGAAAGAGAGGGGGGATATGAGAGAGAGAGAGATAGAGAGAGAGAGAGAGAGAAAGAGAGAGAGAGAGGGGGGATAGAGGAAGAGAGAGAGAGAGAGAGAGAGAGAGAGAGAGAGAGAGAGAGAGGGGGGGGGGAGAGAGAGGAGGGGGGCAGAGGGGGAGGGGAGCTATTATGCCGAGCCAGGAAATGGTAAATCGAAACAGAAGAAGAAGAAGAAGAAGAAGAAGAAGAAGAAGAAGAAGAAGAAGAAGAAGAAGAAGAAGAAGAAGAAGAACAACAACAACAACAACAACAAAATAGAAACAAAAACTGCAACACCAACAAGGTGGAGAGTGAAGCATGTTGACACAAAAATAAACAATTTATTGCAGTGAAAGAGCAGGAATACAGGCGGAGCTTCCTGTACATAGAGAAGGAGAAGAAGGAAGAAGGAGAAAATACAAGTAGCACCTTCAAAACATCCACCGATAAGAAGGGGGAAAAACTTTCCGGAAATTTTAAAAAAAAAGATAATAGAGCGCGTTGTTCTCTTTGTTATCAAAGATCACTGCCCGTACGTTGAGTGTTACACGCAATCTTTGTTTGTCTAGCGCTCCATTTGGAAGAGAAGTTATTCCTTTGCTCGGATGCTCTTATTAAAATAGCTACGTTTCCCTGATCTTTCCCCGTTACCCATTTGTTTAGGTTCGCTTACGATGAAAGTTGCTACCTCTGCCTCGTTTGACTTCAATTTTGCCAGTGAGAGCTAGATGTTCTTTATGTCTACTCAGGTGTGCCAAAAACTGCATTTGTCGTTTCCTGGTTGATTTTAACAGTGGGCGTCCCTCGCGGGCTTCATCAAGCTCTACCTCGTTTGAGAGAGTAACAAACACAAAAAATGGAGGAGAGATAAGAACGACAGAAAATAAGAAAGAAGGCACCTACAACACCAGAACACCCGCCAACCACCCACAAACACACTTTGACTTGAAAAACACATCGGCACAATAACGGTCATTTTGTGAAAGGGAAACGCACGGAGAATAGCATAACTGTTATGCCGCAATTGCCGACACGAACGTACAATTATTGTCTAGCTGAACAAAAGATGTGACTTTCGCGAAACGTGAGCGACAGCTTAAAAAAAAAAAAAAAGAAAGAAAAAGAAAGAAAAGCAACATTGACAGTAATTATTTTCGACTAATGGCTTGGCACGTTTATTTTCGGAATTACATATTATTATATCTGAGAAAATGACCGGATCCATGGCAAAAATCTCTATATCCATTTACAACAGACTGGGAAAATATAGAGAAACAAACAAATTCTCTGGAAACATGAACGATAATATGTAATTTTATCGAACTAAATATAGAGGGATACAGTGCAGTTTGAGAAGTATAGAAGAAGAATATTCTCACGACTTTGTTCTTATCATAAGATTATGGAATGGATGAGGTTTCTCAGAAATTGCAAGATCTGGCGTATAGTGCGTTTTGTAATGGAACTTTTTAAATGTGACGAGATCCTCTTCCCACAGCCCATCGATCGACTGTGCGCCACAAAATTAGGGCTTAGACTTAGAAGTGTTTCATAGGAGACACGAAGGACGTGATAATGTGGTCCATCATTGCGAACTGTGTGACATTACAGAGCCTGCCAACCTGGGCGAGAGCGTCCACTAGTGGGCGATCGATTTTTTAAATGTTAGTGTCCGGTGGGGACCACCAGAGTAATAACAGATATTATAATTTAATCTGATATTTTTAAAAATTACATGTAGGTAGGCGATAACAAAGTATTAGCCTCTTTTTAAAGATGGCAAACGTTGTTTTAGGCTAGAGAAAAAAGGTGAAAACAGTGAATTAAATTATTTTACCTGGCACAAAAACTAATAGATTATAACAATCACTTAAAGTGTAACGACCGACCAACCTATTTACTGAAAAGAAATACATCATGGCCATCTTATCAGAACACTTGTAGGTTTGGATAGAGTTTATTCGTACAAGAAAGCTATTTAAAAAACTTGCACCTGTCGTAAAACACACCGGTGTGCTTGTTGTTACACCTAGGCATGCACAAATACCAATAGATTATAACCGTTACTGAGAGTGTAACAACCGACCGCATAATTGACAGAAATAGTAGAAGTACCCAGAAATCAAAATGCTTCCAGCTTTTCAGAACACATCTAGACTTTAAAAAAGAGTTTAGTCTAACAAATAAGCTATTTAAAAGTTGCACCTGTGGTAAAGCACAATGGTGTTCTCATTGTCAAAACTAGGCGAGCACAAAAATTAATAGATTATGACCATTACTGAAAGTGTGACGACTGACTGCATAATTTTCCTGAAATGGTAAAAATACCCAGATATAGATATGTAGCCGTCTTATCAGAACAGATTCAGGTTTGGAAAGAGTTTAGCCGAACAAAGAAGCCTAAAAATGCTAGCACCCGAAGTAATACACAATGGAGTGTTTGTTGTTACAAATAGGCATGAACAAAAACTAATATATTATACTCATTACTGAGAGTGTATCGAAACAGTTACTGAAACAGTTATGGGGACCAAAAAATAAAAATGCTCCCTGCTTTTTCTGAAAAATACTTAAAACTTTAAAAGAGTTTAATCGTGCAAAGAAACTATTACAAAGCTTGCAGGTGCTGTACACCACAATAATGTGTTTGTTTATATAACTATTCATACACAAATACTAAATACTAATAGATTAAGTGAAAGTGAAACGACCGACCGCACAATAAACTGAAATAGTAGAACAACTACTGAAATGAAAGGGAGCAAGTTTATCCTTACCAGGTACATTGTAACCAAGCACATTTATTGCCATGCCTAAACCAATATTGCCTTTTATAGTTTTTCTTTTTTAGACCTTGCAAAAATAAAATGAGGTACAACATTTTTCCCCGCAACCTGTACGTTGGAAGTCAGTGCAGTGATTCAGTGCGCGTGATCTGACTAGTAGAGCACCCCCCCCCCCCCCCTCCCGTTCCAAAAAATAAAATAAAATTGAAATATATA